GCTCAACCAGAGAAGGGCCACTGGGAAACTGCAGTGCAGTTGAAGAGGCCATTTGCAAATTTCAGGTTGCTATGATAAAACTTCACTAAAAATAAAATAAATAAAAACATGTAAATGCATGTAATCCATGTAATATTGTAAGCCAAAAATACTACACATTTTTTATGATCATAAATTTTTTATGATGTACATAACAATTAACACACGCTACATGATACATGTATACGTACACATATCATAAAATATAAAAGGAATCAAGAATTTGATGAAATACGATGTACATGTACTTTTCAGACAAACAACATGCATAATTACTATTGCTACTACATTGATACTACATAAAAAATAGTGTGACTATTACTATTACACATGTACATGTACATGTACCTGTACATGTATACAATGTCTTACTTGTTCTCTAAATCATTGATGAGTGATTCATTGAGTAAACAGTTGCTTAGTAAACTCTCTTCACTCTCTTCCTCTCCCTCCTCTTTCCCTCTCATCTTAAACTGAGACAGTGAGGCACGAGTACCAGAAAACAATGACAGAGATGGTGTTCCCTATACAAAAATAAAAATGTGAATGTTAAAGTGACGCTTGTGACTTAAAAATATAAAATTAGTTACATGTACATGTACATGTATAACTGGTGACAAAATTTGAAACGTAACAAGATAAAATTTTGCCATTGCGTGTTTACATGTTATAAAAACATCCTCTATATCATGTACGTGTACATGCATTACGTGTGTATCATTTATCTTACTTGTTCTTCGTGTAGAGCAGTGTTAATGGCAGCCTCATATGCAGTGAATAGTGCAATGATACTGTTAGTCAATGGATTGAGTAGCATGGTCTTTAACTGGGAATAATCTGTATCATATGATAGCATACCTACAGGAATAAATGAAAGTATTATAATAGTACTAAATAAATAAATCAAAAATAATTAATTTACATGTACATGCACACATACATTGTCAAGGGTTCTGCCTAGTAAACAATAAGAGATGACTATGTCTATATGTATGTGTACTATGACGTATGATGACTATGTGTATTACACCATGTGTGATGACTATGTGTACCCCTAACTATTATACTGTAGGTAGAACCATACATGTAGTATACATGCATGTACATGTACATGTGCATGTAAAGCAGTGACACAAGTGTGCATTATAGTGTGCATCTATGCATGTATAATGTCCAGTGTACATGTACATGTACATTGTGTATGCCATATTCTACCTTCTTCATTAATTTGTAATTGAATTTGCCACAAACACTGAGGCACTCCTTGTTCCCTCCCCTCACCCTCTTCCTTCTCAATGGTCCCTCCACTGGTCCCTCTGGCCCCCTCTCTCTTACTCATCACAACACTCAGCCATTGATTAACGTGATCCTCAATGAGACTAATAATTGAACTAGACACAATCTCTTTCACTAGTTTAATCAGCTCCTTCAACTGATTGCAGCGATGATACCCATTCTCTATATCATCCTCGAGCTGCTTGTGCTGTCTCCTCTGTATTGAGATGCGGAGCTCAGAGACAAACGGCTTGTGTCTCTTTTCTGCAACAAGCCCCTCCACGTACTTGTGTGAGTTAGAAACAGTCTCTCCGATAACTTTAAGAGAATACCGGAAATATTTATCAAAGTACTTGAGTAGCTGCTTGTTGTTTGTCCTCACGTATACGGAGAATTCCTCTCGAGTGCAGCAACCACAAGATGAGATATTGTTTCCTCTTAGGGAGAGCATGTCTCTAGAAAGACTATTGATCTGCTGTAGGAGTTTGAGGAACGGAACGTGGAAACGAGCTCCGGAAAAATAAGTCAACGACCGAATGCGATTGTACTTTGCACGGCTGGCATTTTGATGCCAGAGTCTTAGGGTTTTTCGTGGTAGGTACTCCCTAAAAAACTTAATCCGTCAAATGGCACGGAATATATACTTGTCTCTGTGCCACTCGGCAAAGCTACGATGTTCGCATTCCCTGTCAGGATAAACTAGGAGGATACCAAAGACAGTTGCTACGAAGTGTAGTGAATGGAGTCTTGGTTTATCAATGACCTGTAGCTGGTATGGATCCCAAGGGACGGTGTCCTTGAATTCCATGTATACTTCTTGTTGAGTGGTTGGTAGAGAGCCTGTTGCAAAGGCTTGTATCACATCTTCTGCATTTTGTAGTCTCAAGTGACAGTCATTGTTCATCTCCTTACCCCCGACCTGAGCACAAAGAATCGTCTTTACTTTCTCCATAGGCTCAACCAGTTTGACTGGTCCTCGTCTCCTCTGGGGGATAATCGGAGGAAAATCGGATGGGTACAATGGTCTTAGAAACACAGAGCTTGGCTTATCGCTGTAGGTTGAAAAACCTTCAGTGGTCTTAGGTCTAGAATTAGGAGGGAGTATCGGTCGTTTTGATAGTTCCATTAGTAAAGTTTCGTGCTTCACTTTATCACAGGAGAAGAGTATGTCACCAGTGGTCAGTTTCCTTGCTCTGAAGGTCACTGGAATCCTTTCCTTGTCATACACAAATACAGGATCTCTTGGAACATTGTAACTCAGTGATCTCTGTCTCTTTATTTTTCTCCTAGCTGCACCATCAAAGTGAGCCTCATGATTAGCACTGATAGTATTAACATGTATTGCTCCTGATGTGAGGCCAGGATCACAATATTCTATTAGTTTCTTGATAACTTCTTCTTTAGCAGTAGAGGCTTCCTCTGTCCTTATATCAGTGCCAGTAGGAGAGAGTGAGAGGGTTCTTCTGATGTAATGCTCTATCTCTGGTCTAGAGGATATCTCTGTTAGTTTTCCTGAGCTTAGTGAGTCCAATATATCCAGTATCTCTCTCCAGGAGCTTTCACTGTGAAAAAGACAGAGATGATAATACACAGTACAATTAAATTATACACTGTACAATGCAGTACTAGAGTCCCATGTGGTAGTGTATCTTTCTGGTACAACAAACAGTTCGTGCAGTGCAGGCCTACCTGTTGTCATTCAGAGCTGATATAAACAGTTTCTGTAGGACTAGAGAATTCTCCACGCTCTCTTCCTCTTCATCTCTTACTCTTTCTTTCTCAACCAGAGAAGGGCCGCTGGGAAACTGCAGTGCAGTTGAAGAGGCCATTTGCAAATAGCCCGTTGCTATAGAAACAAGTTAGCCACGCCTATTAGCTTATTGGCGTGGGCGTAAATATTAATTTTTTAAGAATTAATTTTTAGTAGAGAATAAAAAATTTTACTGTGATCAAAAAAATAAAAATTACAAAACAAATCTACATTACCATCAATTTTTATCAAAACATAATAAATAATCAATATTACTGAATACTAGATTGATTTAAAATCTCTTCTAAATTGTTCACAAAAGACGAACACGAAATATTTTGTGCCCACTTCTTAAAGAGACCAGAGACTATACCGCTAGTACCAGTAGCTCCTGTCCCTTCATCTCCTAATGCACCAGCCATTACTTCAGTCACTGCATCATCAGATAGACCAAGCAAATGAGTAGCAATCATTGAAACGAGAACAGAATCACTTTCAGGGACAGAGGACTGGCTTAAAAACGATTCCAAATAACTTAATTTCTCTTCTTCATTAGTTAATGAGGTACCGATCGTAGAAGGTCGAGGAAAGTATTGGTAAGATTCGAAATAGAGCAATTCCTTAATAGAAACAGCTCCATCTGTACTGGTGAGAGAATCCTTCCCTTCAGATAAAGCAGAAGCTACTTCATTAACATCATGAACCACCAGGTCTACCTCGCCATTGAGAGGGTAAGATTTCAAATGAGCAGGAGAGATTATAAACTCATTCTTATCACTGATAATGTCAGTAACTCGACGTATCATCCCTAATAACTCACTCCTTTGCTTGACTAGTTTAAATTCATCTCCAGGTCGACAGCTCATGAAGACTGTGATTTGTTCCCCATTCTCTTGCTCCTCCACTATAAACTGCACCTCTCCCCTAACACAATACACCCCTCTTGACCATAAATGGTATGTCAACTCTGCACTACCTTCACTGTCATCACGGCTATTATTAGTATTGCTATCTAAACTGAGGATTTCCATTTGTATTGTGTGAAGAATGTCAATTGGAAATTGCAGTGATTGAGAAGGCTCAATAAACCAACCAAAACGATATGAATCCATCAAATTGAATAATCTTCCAACGGTATTAGGATCAGGGGCTTCTCTCGTTACCTTTGATGGAAAGAAGAGATTTGGTGTTTTCTTTAATGGCGCAATTGTAGACAAAGTACCAAAAGATAGCGTAGGAGGAGATTGGAGTGAGAGACAAAGAGAGAATTTTCGAAGAAATGGTGAAACCAACTGAGGAGCAATACCAGAAAGAGCCTCAAGAAAGACTCTCTCTTCTATTAATCCATCATCACTAGTCGGAGAAGTGATTATGGCATTTAACATATTATTCAGTAGTAGGTAAGGCTGTAGTACTAATATAGACTGATCGTGTACTTTATCTTCAAGATTAAGAACAAGCCCTTTGTCTTCCAGTATCGCCAAACTCTCCTTCACCGATAAATCAATGTCATTGTAGTATGAATCACCTTCAATCATTTCCATGAGACTAGATAGAGGCAAAGAAAGTGTCCCACTACTACATCTCTCATTGAGAAATACATACAAAGCAAGGTGTTGAAATTGCAATGGCTTTCCTGTATAGCTGCTCCTTAGACTAGCAATGCTTTGAGCCAGCATTGAAAGTAGGTCATTAACTTGTCTTGATCTCACACTACGTGTATCAACCATCACTGCACCACCTGAAATGAGGTTGGTATTATACTCGCCAATACTGCTACCGTCTTGAAATCCCCATTGACTCATTGTGGACTCATCAGCATAGCTACCAGTAACAATAACATAAGATCCCTTCACTGCTATAGAATTAATATAACTAGCCCAAGAAGAGACATTCTCGCCTACTTCGTCCTTGCTTTTACGCACATCAGTGACAATGATAAATAAAGAGGAGTACCCACCACTCACTAGCTTTCTTAGTACATTGGGTCGTTGGTAGCGTATGCTAGAAGGAACAGTCATATAATAGTACTGGGCCTGCTTCAGCAAGATCAACCTTCCTCACTTTAATCCCGAGTGATGGCTCACGCTTCCTGATCGTACCCCTCCTTCCTCCTAGCCCTTTGTTGCTAACTTTCACAGCATGAGCAAGTGAGCTCTTTCCAACCCCATCCTCCCCGAGGACAAAAACTTTAACGACTTTTTGAGCAAACGATAAATCCTTTTTCCGTCCCAACTCAAGCACTTTTGCTGCTCCGGGACAATTCTTAGCCATTTCTGCTACCGTTACTCCATTAGCAGCAGCTAGTGATAAAGGACAAGTCTTGTATGCCAGGAGGCGTTGTAGTACAGGCACACTCTTCTCCTTGATAGCAGCATGGTAAGGAGTAAGTCCAGTAACAGGACTTACTTGAAATGGATCGCAATGACAGGCCTGAAGGAGGACATCTATAACGTCCATCATTCCTTGCTGACATGCTAAGTAGAGGCAGTCCTTAGATAAAGACTTTGCAGTAACAGGAGCAAGCGAAAGTAGCCATAGTGCTTTATTGGTGTTCCTGGATTGGAGCACATCCATTAATTCAGAGGAGAGAAGCGAGACCCCATTCTTGTTGCACTTAAACACGTCACATTGAAGGTCTTTCACGAGATACTCTGCTATGCCTCGAGAGTCTTGCCTTATTGCTGACAGTAATGGAGTCTCACCTTTGACATCCTCTTGATCGACCTTAGCCCCAGCCTCTACTAGCATCAGTACCATTTCATGGCTTCTGGTCCACACAGCAAATCTGATGACTCCTTCTTCTCTATTGTTACAAACGCTCAGAAGAGCTGGTGCTTTTTGTAGCAATACTTTAACACAGTTAAAGTATCCATTAGAAATGGCATGGTGTAGTGCAGTATTACCATGCTCGTCAGTGATGGTATAATCTGCATTGTTTTCTAATAGAAAATCACACACGTTTTCGTCTCCACTGGTCGCTACTGTTAAGAGGAGCGGAGAATGTCTCACTGTCTTTCCTTTCGATTTCTTTTCGTCTATTTGTAGAAGGTAGAGCAGCTCTTCCTTCCATTCCTTCTCATAGACTGATTTAATGATTCTATATTGTATGCTGCAAGGTAAAGCGATCCTATCATACATCACTAGGAGCGAATGAAATGCTTCCTTCCCTTTCTCCTCTTCCTCCTCCATGAGAGCTCTATTCAGTCCCAGTAGCAGTGGTACTTCACCGGATCCATTACATTTGAGTAGATTAGCATCATGAGTGCTCACTAGTCTCTCTGATATGCTCCACTCTCCTTCTCTCATTGAGTGATGGAGTGCAGTGCTTCCGTTAAAATCCTCACCATCGACCCTAGCCCCTTTACTGATCAGATACTCGACCAGTTCCTCGTGTCCACCTCGTGCTGCAAGGTGGAGTGGTCTGAGGTTTGTTCTCCTGTAGTCCAGTGCGTTGGGGTCCAGTGAGTGCCCCTCCAGTAGTAGTCTGGTAACTTCAGCCCATCCTTTCTCGCATGCTTTGTGTAGGGTAGCCTCCAAATCAGCATTAGGAATTCTATACGATCCCTTTCCTTTATTCGCTTCTTCTTGGAGTATGTGGAGGATCTCCTCCTCTTCTTTCTCGCTCAAATCAGTCACTGTAGCTTTAGACCCTTCCATTGTAGAGATGACCACTCCCACAAAAGTTAATCACCACACCCACTTCAATGAACACGTTTTTCCACGTGGGCAGTCAAGGGGCGTGCTCTCTACATTCAGAGGGCTGGGCCAAGATGGCAAAGAATTACAGGAATTTTTTCAAGTACAACATCTTGTGCAGAATTTTCTTCTGGTAAGCAACTAAGCATTTTAATTTTTCTGCTGCCACTTAAAATAATTATTGCAATAAATTTTTCCTAACAATTAATAACTGTATAATGTATTAAGAGACATGAGGGGATGATGCAATACATGTACATGTATGTGTGTTTAAATGTGGTTTTAATGTCAGTAATTTTGTGTCTACAATTTTTTATGCTCCTATTTCAAATACTTTTCTAGTTGGGTTGATCCTTTACTATGGGTTGGTTGTTGTCAGAGTCTGTCTCAGTCTGATCTCACTCCTCATCCTGATGAATGTGATTCGTCTTATCTGCATAATAAGTTTAACAAGTGAGTGACTCTTTAAATATTATTATTCAGGGTATTGTACTACTGTATACATACATGTCCTTATGTTGTGTAGAAAGTTTGAGTTCATTCCAATCAAATTTGGATTTTTTACAAATTTTTTAAGTTGCTCAAAAATTGGGCCAAAGTCCCTGTACTACAATACAGGGACTCTGGCAAATTTCACCAAAAATGACTAGGAGAGAATTTTATGTTTTAATAATTTTATTTGATGCATATACATGTTTTTATGTTGTGTAAAAAGTTTGAGCTGATTCTGATCAATATTGGATTTTTTATGAATTTTTAAAGTTACTTAAAAATCCGGCCAAAGTACCTGTACTACAGTACAGGGTCTTTGGCCAAATTTCACCAAAAATGACTAGGAGAGAATTTTATGTTTTAATAATTTTATTTGATGCGTATACATGTTCTTATGTTGTGTAGAAAGTTAGAGCCGATTCTGATCAAATTTGGATTTTTTACAAAATTTTAAAGTGGTTAAAAAATTGGGCCAAAGTAACTATTCTATTATAAGTCTTGTCAGCTCATGAAGCATGCTTTTTAGCTCACGTAGCATGCTTTATGGGAAACCAAGATGCAACTACATGTATTTGCAGTTTTTATAATGGCAACTGGTAGTTTTATCTTGTTTAAAATTTATTTTTGTCATGTACATATGTAGATACTGGTCCCATGAGCTAGCTACTAGAGGTCCAGCTAATGCAAGGCTCTGGTGGGTTATATTGAAATGCTTCTGGTGGAGATCACTACTAATTCAAATCTTGACATTACTACTGGTAAGATTATTACCATCCACATCAGGGAGAGTATTCAATACAATAATTTTATACATCACAGTGTATTACTTTCATAGTATAATTATGCTTCTTTGGTGCAACTTTGTTACATGCAATTTTGTGGCTACTTTGATCTTGAAGTAACTTTGTTGCCTCAAGTAGAGCAGTGGTCAACTTGAGGCAACAAAACCACAAAGTTTCAAGCAACAATGTTGCCCCATGTATGAGAGCCTTTAGTAATACAGCTGTTGACTATACTCCTTTCATTATTAGGTAGCTGTATTTTTGACACAATCAGAGATACTGGGTCTAGTAACTGATTACTTTTCACTAGAGAGTCCAACAGCACATGATACTAATTCAGCGTATCTTTATGCCTCTCTCCTTGTTCTGATGTCTTCCTCAGTGGTTTTCCTTAACCTGGTGTTTTATGCCGGTCGTAAATTCGGAGGATTACTTAGGATTCTATTAACGAATGCAATTTATTTTAAGGTAATTCTTAAGGCCCATTCACACTGCAAAATTAACATAAGGTAAGGCTATAAGACAGAAAGTGCCATATAAATCAGTGGCCACTCTTTATGTAATCTAAAAATAGAAATTATCTCTATTCTTACCTTATGTAAACAGCGGCCATTGATTTATACAGCACTTCCTGTCTTAACATATAGCCTTACCCTTATGTTAGTTTTGTAGTGTGAATCAGCCTTGATACTGATTCTACTCACTATAATTATGTGATTTACACATTGTAGGTATTAAAGTTAAGTCAGATGACTTTGGGTCGTGTGACTATGGGTCATGTGATCAACATTGCTTCGAATGATGTCCATCGTTTTGATGAAGTTAATTTATTCTATAAAATATTTATTGTTATTATTGTTATTTTTTCATAGAGTATGATATTTTTTCCTTTCTACTTGGCATTCCCTCTCCATTTATCTGTGGTAGTGTATCTTTTATATTTAAAGATACAATGGAGCTCCATGGTTCCTGTTAGCGTGATACTGCTGTCAATACCAGTTCTTATTGCTACTTCACTCTTATACTCCAAGTTTAGGTATAATTTATAATAATTATAATGATAGGCCCAAGCTACCGTATAGTGCAAAATTTTCGTGGGCTGTAAATTTCACAGATTTGCCTAAAAATCTATTTTGCGGATTCAATTTTCACAAATTTATGCCGTCTGCCATCTTGTACCATAATAATTTGATTTTTGCGAATCTTTAAAAAATTGCAAAATTTACAGCCCTCAAAAAAATTTGCGTTATACATGTACATCGCTAATTTATCGTAATGGAATTATTTGCACTACATGTACATGTACTTGTACACATAGATCTACTCTGTGTTTGTGTAATCGATCCATTGTATTGTCCTAAATTGGCATATTAAATTGGCATATTAAATTGGCATATTTTTCAACTACAATTAACCTATTATTGGAATCAATTCAAATTTTTTATAGAGCATAATCATAATATTAAGCATTATTTTTTCAATGCCAAATTTTAACAAGTACAATGTGCATTTTTATACTCAGGGACTGTCATTTTTAGGTTAAAAGCTGCTAAAGTGACAGATAATAGAATCAAAGTGATGAATGAGATCATCACAGGAATCAGAGTCATTAAAATGTATGGATGGGAGTATGCTTTTAGTCAATTAATAAATAAAATAAGAAGGTAAAATTATTTATAATGCATGCAAAATTATGTATAATTATGGTAATAATAACTATAAAATTTTTTATAGGAAGGAAATAATATTTATACAGTAATAATAATTATAATATTTTCTATAGGAAAGAAGTGTCGTTTGCTTTAGCAAGTCTCTCAGTTTTGCATTTGAATTTTGCTTATTCCTTAAGAGCTCAAAATTTGATGTTATTTTTGTCACTATCAATTTTTGCTTTGAGCGGAGGTGTCCTAAATCCTGGGATTGTCTTTAGCACCTTTGCTCAACTCACTTTTTTGCGGTGGTCTTTCTCTCATTTTGTTGGAGCCATGCTTTATGTACTTGAATTTCGTGTTGGATACAAAAGGATTAAAGTAAAATATTATACACAAAAAATCTATTGATTACTGTTGATGTAACGTGTAGGAGTTTTTACTGCTACCAGAATTAATGGAAGTCAAAAAAGAAAGTGAATTTCCTCAAGTAGATTTTTTTTGTTGTTGATTGTTTAGTTTATAGGTGAAGAGTATGGGGACTTTCTTCTTACAAGCCATGATTCAGTTTCTGATGTTAATACTAATGGGATTTCAGTTGAGAATTTAACTGCTTCATGGTTAATGAATGCTGATTACATTACTCTACATGATATCTCGTTTAATGTCAAGGTTCACTAAATTTATAAAAAATAGCATTGAATGATTGTTTTTTATTTTTTTATAGTCTAATTCATTGCTAGCTGTTGTAGGGCCTGTTGGATCTGGAAAGGTAAAAAAAATTACATAATAATGAATGTTATTTCAATTTCATTATATTTTTAATATTATTATTATAGTCCACATTACTCCAGTGTGTATTGAAGGAGCTACCAGCATTAAGTGGTAGAGTATCAGTGAGAGGATCAGTAGCATATGCTAGTCAAGAGGCATGTGTATTCTCAACCAGTCTTAGGGAGAATATACTGTTTGGTTTACCATATGAAGAGGAATGGTATAGGAACGTTGTACATGCTTGCGCTCTTGAAAAAGTAAATTACTGTAAACTCAAACAATTTAATGACCTTTTTTACATCTAAGATAACCAATTACACATTGACAATCATACATGTATTTACATCCATTAACTTTAATGAGTTTAAGCCAATAGTTAAAATTAATGGATTGTAATTATTAATGGTATACAGTAGCTGAATTTAGGAGGTATTATTATTATTGAAACAGGATATATCGTTATTGGAGAATGGTGATATGACACTAGTGGGAGAGAGAGGAGTGACACTTAGTGGTGGTCAAAAGGCACGAGTCAATCTAGCAAGAGCTGTCTATAGAAAGGCTGATATATACCTCCTTGATGATCCTTTGAGTGCTGTAGACTCTGCAGTCAGTAGACATATATTTGAGAAGTAAGAATTAGCTAATACTAGTTGTAGTATAAAGTATTACACCATGTATATATAAGGTGTGTTCGTGGACTGTTGGCAGAAAAGTGTGTAGTGTTAGTGACACACCAAACACAATATCTAGAGCAGTGTCACTCTGTATTAAGATTAGTGGAGGTCAGTAATTTTAATCAAATATTACACAAATGTGCTCATTTGGTAGGGTAAGAGAGTGTCAGTAAATATTGATGAGGTTAAGGAAGGCAATGAATTAGGAGTTGATGATGACAATAAAGCCAATGGAATTGAAGAATTTAAAAGTTAGTTTATAGTGAGGCTTATAGTTTAATATTGTGCATTTTTAGTTGAATCTACTAATAAAGAATTGTTACCAAATGAACCTCATGAGGTGAGAATTTAGTTTTTAATTCAATACAAATTTAATGTATTTTTAGGGCGAATTTTCTGATTCTAATGCTCAACCAGAGGAGGAGCGTGCTCATGGTACAGTATCACTGAGGACTTACTTTCAATATTTTAAAAGTGGTGGAGGATACATATTCACACTATTTGTTTTTGGATTATTTATTTTTACTGAGGTCTGTATGATAATATTGGATTTAGACTACATGTATATGTACATACATTATAGGGAGTAACACTTGTTTCAGATTGGTGGATTGCTGACTGGTATATTACTTACATTAATTAAATAATGATTAATTTAATTTTTAAGGTCAGAATGCTCAGTACAATCTGACCTCAATACCTCTACTTGTCAGTTAACTACTAGTGAAAGGATTCAAGTGTACAGTGGACTGACTGCTGGCTTTGTTACTCTGACTCTCGTTGAAGGAGTTTTACTTTGCGTTTTGCTTATAAGATCATCGCAAGTTCTTCATAATAGAATGTTCTCTCACGTACTGAGAGCACCGATACTCTTTTTTGACACTAACCCTATTGGTAAGATCATTTAAAATCGTAAAAATATGATCTTATTAAGTATAGGTCGTGTATTGAATCGATTTTCAAAAGACGTTGGATTCATGGACGATATTTTAGTGAATAAGATATTCATTATGGTGTTTGTGAGCAGATTACTTTTTCGAGTATTTAGTTACTGATATTTATTTGTTTTTAGTTTGGTATTAAAACTACTGGATTCTTCCTAGTTGCGATGATTGCTAACTATTATCTGATCATCCTGATGGTGATATTGTGTACTATTTTTGTAAGCATGAGATGGTACTACATTAGCACAGCTAGAGATATCAAGAGACTGGAAGCTATTGGTGAGATAAAAATAACAATCTAATACCTACTGTATTGTACAAGATTATACATGTATATTGACGAGAGTAATATTTGACAAATTTGCCTGTGGAAAGTTAATTGACAGATTTTTATATTGGCAATATCTGCATAGAACCGCCAATCGCCAATATTAATTCCTTTGCTAGTAAATCGTCTTGTACATTAAAAATTATTTTATTATTACATTGTAGCTCGTAGTCCAATCTATTCTCATTTATCAATGACACTCCAAGGACTCTCAACCATTCGTTCCTATTCAATGCAATCAGTCATGATAGAGAGAATGCACCAGTATCAGAACACACATACTCAAGCCTGGTACCTCTTCATAGTCACTTCAAGGTATGCACTATATGAGCCCATTCCAATCACTATTCTTGAGTTATACTGTAAACCTATTAATGTTAGCGGCTACTTTATTTAGCGTTTATGCTTAAATGTCAAATTAGTGACTATTAAATTTGGCGTATCATTAAACCTTTCCCACTTTTCTGTTAGCTGCTGCTGTCGTTCCACTGGGTTCTCCTTCCTCTGGTAGTGTTGCCGACCGAGCAGAAGAGAGCCATCTACTAGTATCAGCGACATCTTGTGATCATGTGACCGGGTGTTTTTATTAGCAAATATTAAATTTAGTGTGTTTAGGCTCTTTGCTAATATCGCTAAAATAAGTAGCACGCTAAAATTTGTAGTTTTACAGTAACTTGAAATAGTCCGTTTACTGTACTTTTAGCTTAAGTGTACCTTTATTACATCTATTTTCACATAGGTGGTTTTCAATGCGTCTCGATGGCTGTGTTTTTATTTTTATAACTACTATTGTATTGTCATCAATTTCTTTGGCACAAAGTAATGTTATACATAATACATATTTAATAGTTATAATTATTTTTATGATCAGCTTTTAATGCTGCTCTTATTTCATTATCGTTAACGTATGCAATGTCATTGATGGATGATTATGCTTTCTTTTTGAGATCTAGCACTGAAGTGGAGAACTTAGTAAAAATCATAACTGACATTTACAAGTAACTATATTCCTATAGATGGTATCTCCAGAGAGAGTTATTGCTTATGGTAAATTAGAAGTAGAGGCATCATTGGAAACTCTTCCTGAGTCTAATAAGCCACCATCTAACTGGCCTGATAAAGGAAATATTGCACTGAATGATGTCTGTTATAGTCATTCAGTTGATGGACCACAAGTACTGACCAATATATCATGCGTTGTGCCTAGCAAGAATAAAGTATGTAACTATGATAATATGTTCTTAATTACAAGTCATGAATTAGGTTGGTATTGTGGGCAGAACTGGTGCTGGAAAGACATCACTGATATCGGCATTGTTTAGATTAGCTGAACCAACTGGTGGTAGTATTGTCATTGATGGAATTAATGCTAATGCACTAGGACTACATGATCTTAGGAAAAATATATCAATTATACCTCAAGTACATATTAGCTTGAGCTCCTATTGTAAATGTTATATTATTGTGTTGTAGGATCCAGTATTGTTTGGTGGATCAATTAGGTACAATCTTGATCCTTTTCAAATATACAATGATGCTGACATATGGAGAGCACTAGAACAAGTAAAAATTATAATAATAGTATTATTCTGATGATGCATGTATAATAGGTACAGTTAAAGTCAGTAGTTGAAGGATTGGATGACGGTCTATTGTCAATCATAACTGAAGGAGGTAGCAACTTTAGTGTTGGTCAGAGACAGCTCTTTTGTCTGGCAAGAGCTCTCCTGAGAAACAATCCAATTTTAGTATTAGATGAAGCTACAGCTAACGTAGACATGAAGTAATGCTATCTTCATTTTTGTTTCATCATTTTATTTATTTATTATCATGATGTAGAACTGATGGTATCATTCAAGAAGTGATTCGTGAGCAGTTTAGTGAATGCACTGTATTGACTGTTGCTCATCGTCTAAACACTGTAATGGACTATGACAAGATCATGGTATGTTCATAGATAATTTTATTCATTATATATTAAAATGTGACTTTAAAGGTACTGGATAAAGGAGAATTAGTGGAGTATGATGAACCTCATTTGTTGCTTTGTCAGTCGTCATCTTACCTTGGGCAGTTAGTTGATCAGACTGGACCAGTCAATGCTAAGAAACTGAGAGACATTGCTTTTTTGAGCCATCAAAGAAAATAATTATTATTATCTATTTATAACAATCCTTTCTTACTAAAGAAGCTATAATTTAATCAAATTAGATTAAGATTTATAGTAGCAAGAGCATTTGGGCACTATTTTCCATTGATATACTGATAGCATAACAAATCTGTACTTATTGAAGTTGTCTTATTCAGTTTTGACCTTCCCCTTTTGTGTGCCTATACCTTTATTACCTCTCTCTTGTATTATTCAGGGAATGACTATGTAGTCTTGTCATTAGATTTTGTCCTTGCTCACATATGACAAGGATCTAATGAGCTTGTAAAATACATGCACATTATTGCTATTATTTTATTGATTATACACGTTATGATGCAAAGGTCATAAAGTACTTATCTTTTGAGTGTGATCATCATCGTACCATGTGTCACTTATACTTAATTGCTTATTTAACCTAGGTCTAGTACTCCATAAACAAACGCCTTCGTTTATGTCAACAATATTGACTGTATATTATGCATATACTTTCTTTCATCAAATTTTTGCTACAGCATATAAATTCTTATAACAAGGTCTCTATACTCTTGAGTTCAATGTGCAAAAGAGCATTCAATTTGCTTCCTTACAACCTTTTCTATATACAGTAAGTATATCACCAATCACTGCTACTTCTATTATGTTTTGATAGGAGCACTGATGAGGAACAGGATGATACTGGCAGTTCTTTATTACATATTTGTATTGCTACTCGATCTAGTTCAACTGGGAGAAGGAGTAGGGCAGGGACCACCTTCTCTTATTCGACCCAATAAAGGTAAAAGCATTAAGTCATTTACAAAATTCATGTTACTATAGGTGTTCAGCTGTATCTACCTTATGAGGACAGGATAATACCTGATTACTCTATGATATATGCTAGCCAGTTTTATGATATTGATCTGAATAATGATGTTAATAATATCACTGATGCTTTGTGGTGTCAGAGTGCTAACAATGTTACTAATATTGGAGTGTGGTATTATCCTAATGGAACTGAAGTACCTTTATTTGATGGAAGCTTCACTAATTCATCAGCTCCTAGTCCAGTGTTCTGTAAGAGATTCAGTGGTCAGATTGCCCTAGCTAGAAGTGCTGGACTATCAGGATATGAAGGTTTATACAAGTGCATCATTCCTGATGAGAATGGAGTGAATCAAACACTAGTGGTTGGGGCATATACTGATACTGGATACAATAACAATGGTATGTGATGAATATAGACTATAATTAATGTACTTCTTTTACAGATGGTCCTGATGCTGATCCTACTATGCAGTTCTCTCTCCTCTCCACTAGTAGATTAGCTACTCCTCCAGTCTTCAGTCTCAGTTTCAATGTTTCTGATGGTCCTCCTACTACTGTCAGTTGTTCACTGAAAGGGAACAGAATATCTACTGAACTGTCTCGTGTCATAGTAAATGGACCAGGATTTGTTACGAGAGTGGCAGTAACAGTGAGACTGAGAGAAGCTGGTAACTATCAGTGTACTGTATCTAATACCAGAGTAACTGATGGTATCAATGGTGTTCAGGCATTTATTAGTACCACGTCATTGAGTTTATCAGGTTTGTGTCGTTTATTGTTTATTTATAATCTGTCTCTCAATCAGTATCTGATACTCCAACTAGTTTAACTGCTACAAGATTAAATACTGGTTTATCTCATGTAAGACTCTCTTGGTCTACTGTATCAGGAGCTACTGGTTATGAGGTCTACTATCAACTGTCTAGTAATACTCCTGTTAGTGTAGGCACCACTACCTCAACAACAATCAATATAATATCAGGATTATTTCGAGGGATTACATACACTTTCTATGTGGTATCTTATGGATCAGCTTCTCTGCCTAGTGGTAATGCTTCGGTTATGTTAACATTTAGTAAGTAACGGAACACTATTAAAATTACTTATGTACTCTTACCTATCTTAATGCATGTTTCAGGTGATCCAGTAGTTAATGATTTTATGGCTATATTGACTACAATTTCCGCCATTACATTAACATGGAGTCCACCAACTGCTGTAGTACCAATTAGTTATAATATTGTTAGTGATTGTAAGAGAGTATGTGAATCATCAACAACTGGTAATAGTTCAACATCAGTTTCATCACCACACACTTCAACTGGTATACCTCCTTACAGTCATTGTGACTTTGATCTTATTGGAGTATATAATATTGCAGCTCAATTGACAACAGATTATTCAGCTGAAACACTTTCAACTGGTAAAATAATGATTGCTATTGATAGTTATTTGTCCTTTTCATTATCACTCTAGCCCCTGCTGCACTAGTGGGTGATATTATATTCTCATCAGTAGAGTCAGTGTCAATGACTGCCTCATGGGATGAAGTACCTTGCAATGGAAGGAATGGACCAATCACTGGATACTACCTCACATACACTAACATCACTTCAAACACTAGTTATACTGTTAATATCACTGGAGGAGACAACAGAATGTATAATCTCACAGGATTAATACCATATACTAACTATACTGTGAGTATAATACCTTATAATTATAATCTGAATGGACCAGCTAGACAAGAAATACAATCAACACCTGAATCAAGTTAGTCAAAATATTGATTAGTTTAACACAATTTATTCTTAACACATGCAGTTCCTGGTTTGATATCTAATCTTATACAAGAAAGTGCTGCGCCTACTAAGATCAATATCTCATGGAATCCTCCTACAATACCTAATGGTATCGTTAGAGTATATGAGATAAGATATAGAGAGTCTACCAGTGCTGGTCCATACAATATAACTAACAATACTAACACTCAATGCAGTATAGTAGAATTGATATCTAATACTAGTTATACTATTGGAGTGAGAGCATATACTAATATTGGACCAGGAGAATGGACTGATAGAGACTATGCTACTGCTGAAATACGTAAGTATTATTTTAAATTATTAACTAGCTCTATATATTTTTATTAATTTTATTCTGTATAGCTATAGTTCAAATCTTTTTTGTCACAAAGTTCATTTCTACAGCAGTATTAGTTGAATGGGGTTCAGTTACTGGAGTGAGTCATTATACAGTCTATTATGAATCATCCAATGCCTCAAGGATCATGAGACAAGTAGATGCAGGAATGAGAGTTTTCTCAGCGGATATTACTGAAGGCATAATAGGAGGATTAGATCCTAATCTGAACTACTTGTTCTCTATATCTACATCAATTAATATTGATGGAATCATTTATGAAGGCCAGAGAAATAATCCTATACCACCAGGTTTGTTAAGAATTTGTACTATATCAATGAAGAGTAAATAAAGTAATGTGCATGTATATCTCTATTTATAGTTCCTTATCCTAATGGGAATTATGTGACAACTGCTGTGACAAGTACTGTGACAAGTACTGTGGTGAGCACTGTGACTACTGCATTGCTGAATAATGGAGAAAAAATTGGACTTATAGTTGGTGTATCTGTAGTATATATTCCCATTTTAATACTGGCTATAAGCTTACTAGTAATTGTTTTGTACATGAAAAAAGCTAATAATATTAGACAACGGTAAATATACATGCACATTTATCAATTCTAATGTATATTCAATAGAAAATCAGAGGATGGCATTGTAATGAAATGCAGTCCAGCTTATGCTACAACTGAATTTAAGACAAAGTTTGTTTTTGACTCTAATTATAATTATTGAGTCATAATATAATATTTAATAGATCAAATGTTGAGCTAGTGTATGATGCACCTGGCTCTGAGACTCCTAACCTCCAGGCTCTTCCACCGCCTACTGAATATGAAGTACTAACTGTTTGATAATGATTATTTTTCTATAATGCACAAACTTTTAGTCATGCAAATAAACATTTATTTTGTGCATTGTATACATGAATGTTACCAGTAGATATACACTGTGTGCATGTGTTATAATTAGAAATGTTTGCTAATGTTGTTTAAAGTAATCATGCTAAACCTTAAATCATTAAACATGAAAGCAGAATAGCAAGAGGTTACATTAACTATAATGATAATTTCCCAACTGTGAAGAAAGACACTGCAAACTTGCAGAGTCACCATGCTTATTTACATTCTTAATTGAAAACAACAATAACAAGCAAACTTGTAGTATCTTATCCATGTGAAGCACAGCATGAAAAAAATGAACTGATTAATGCAACTATGCAGCAGGCTGACTAGATCTGAGATATAATACCATTATAATATCTAGTGTGTTCTAGTTGGGCAGTTGGGTGTATGTCAGTATCGTTGATCAATAAGTGATAATGTAGTGATAAATGTAGTGACTCCCAAGTTTAATTAAATCCTTAACCTTCCAGGCTGTATGGGTAATTTAGTTGTAGTAGCTACATGTACATGATTGTGATATTATAGATATCAGTTGTAGATCTAGCTTCCTATTAGTAGCTTCCAGGAAGGGATGATAATTATCTAATGCACATACAACTTCACTCTTTTAAAATTTTAATTTTCGAAGTGTCTATAAAAGGATTGTTGTGTTGCTCTAACTCACAGCAAAACTAAAAGAACACCTGTGTGTACTCACTGGCTAGCAATCATAATGTCTTCTGCTTCTACCCTCATCAGTTACACGATAGTCTTCCTTCTGGTGTCTTCTGTCTGCAGTGAAGGAGCTTTAAAACATTATGCTGCACCTAAAAAAGAGATCTCATTTAAAAATTGTACTGTTGAGCTAAATAACATACCACAAACTTGCAATCGTAGCCTCTTTGGTATACCAACTGATGATGATTTCTTGGAACCTTCAACCAGTGAAGAGCTAGCGGCACTGAATGCAGCTTATGCTCAAAACTGTATCCCTGCCTGTATCGATCCTGTTTTACAGTATTATCGGTGTTACCTTTCAAATCCCATATTTGGTTCCATTAGTTTTAGAAATTTTCATTTATATGTGCAAAATGGTATTTGTGGACAAGACAATGGAGAATACTGTTACGTTAAATCTGATCGCTTAAATGATACTCTTCCTGATCTTGAGATTAATTGCCCTGAACAAAGTAATAATCTATCATTGGTCTGTGATGCTACAACCCCTCAATCTTGTTACGATGACCTTTCTACTTACTCTTCAAGATTAGGTTGCTGTGCTGCTGGTTTGTATCCAGATGTTCAAAACTGTAGAGTAACATTTGATCTTCCTTGTTCTAGTACTACATCATCAACCAGCACTAGTACAGTTCCTACCACCACTCCAAATAGTACTGGTACAGGCAGCACTAATCCTGCTAATGGGCTGTATCCTTTTGCGACTCTGTCAATGATTGCCTTTATAATCCTTGGACTCCTCTTTTAATAATAAATAAATACTATGTTATGCACACACAGTAGTGTATTAATTATTGGCATGCAGTTTTGTGATTTCTAGCATTTTTATCTTTTTTGACAATTTTTGCATGCTTACATTACAATCAAGGAAGTAGATCTACTTGCACACAATTTGATCATTTTAAATAACACTAAATTGCTTCATAAATTAGTGCCAAGATAATCATCCCAGATTTGTATTCTGTCGAATGCCACACATCTCTTTTGCGCTATTGTAACCTACCAAAATAATTGACTACCTCATTTACTTGCTACAGTTTATAACAACAGCATAATGATTATACTATCATTCTCTCTTTTCTTTGCAATACACAGTTAAAAACCTATCAATAAAGGGTCTATAATTACATGCACAATTGTTTATTGCTAGCATAGAATGTTGCTAGCTAGTTAACTAAAAGTCATACTAGATACATGTATGTAAAAAATGGACTCAATTTTTTTTTCAAAATTAATGAGGCTAAGCCACACCTACAAGTAGCATGGTGACACAAGGCCAATGTTGTAGAAGAAGAGCCGAGTAGACTAAGTATGATACCAATCCCGTTATCAGATATTCTATAATGCTTATTAGGAGGGTGAGTTTGCTGTATGTTGCATGTGTCATTCCCAGAGAAACTTATCTATCCTGTAACTCATATTCACTAATAATTAGCATATTAGATTAGCTTATGAATGGAAATGGAAATAAAAGTCTTAAAAAGCAGTAGCTTTGCAAACTAAATTTTGTGTGCATTTTGTACTTTTAGTTCTATTCGCACTTACCATCAACTGGAGGCAATGTTTTAACTGCTAAAGAAATTCGTAGAATCTTTATTAATTACTTCCAATCAAAGGGCCACACCTTTGTGCCATCGTCCTCAACCCTACCACACAACGACCAAACACTGTCCTTTACCAATGCTGGCATGAATCAAGTGGGTGCATGTACACTACATGTATTGACTATTGTAAGGATATGTACATGTAAATCTAATACTACGCTTTATTATTATGCATGCCTATACCTCAATGTAGAGTTTACATGTGTATTTTTATCATACCTCTTTTTATACCTTTTCTATTGTTTTCCTTTCTCTCTTTCTCTGTTAGTTTAAACCAATTTTTCAAGGCACTATTGATCCTTCGTCTGATTTTGCTCGTTTATCCCGTGCTGTGAATTACCAGAAGTGCATTCGTGCTGGTGGTAAACACAATGATCTTGACGTTGTAGGGAAAGACACTTATCATCATACCTTCTTTGAAATGCTGGGGAACTGGTCATTTGGAGACTACTTCAAAGTATGTGAATTCAAATTTAAGAGCCTGAAATTACATTCACACAATGTTCAGACATTGTGTCTGAACATTTTTTAATTTGACCTGCCATTTTTATGAAATGGTCAGGTAGGATTTTCCACAGGATTTTGGCATAGTCCTTGTACAGCTTCTTGTCAGTGGATTGTCAAGTTGCTCAAAAGCTGAGCCTAAGACCCAGTACTATAGTACAAGATATTTTACCAAATTGAAGCTGAAAAATTCCATTTTTATAATTTTTTCTGATACATGTACATGTACATGTTTTTATGTAGTGTAGAAAGTTTGAGCAGATTTCAATCAAATTTGGATTTTTTACAAATCTTTGAAAGCTCAAAATTGGGTCAAAGTCCTGAATTTATAGTGACAATGGAACCAATATTTTTTTGCTTGTCGCAGTGACAACATAACCAATGGGTTTTTTTGCTTGTCATAGATTTTGTGACAATGGAACCAAAATGTTTTTGTTTGTCACGGATTTTGTGACATTAGAACCAATGGGCTTTTTGCTTGTCACAGATTTTGTGATAATGGATTGAATGAGTTTTGCATGTCAATGTGTAGTAGTGTGTACAGGTAGCTTTAAGCCAAGATTATTAAATCTCTCTCTGTCTCTGTCTCTGTCTCTCTCTTTCTCTCTATTAGAAAGAAGCTATAGAGATGGCTTGGTCATTTCTCACTGATACTCTTAATCTCTCAAAGGACAGGCTCTATGTGACATACTTTGGAGGAGATGAGAAGTTGAACTTGCCACCTGATGATGAATGCAGAGGAATATGGATAAACTTGGGGTGAGCATCACTATAATACATGTATGTTTATTCATAAGGGATTTATGCATAGGGTGAGTCTATGTGTATAAATTGTACATGTACATTTAGTTCATTCATTTGTATAATTTTATAGTGTGTATTAGTATAATGTACACTATATGTATGTACATGCTATGGCTATTTTTCATAGATTGTCTCCAGAGCGTGTCCTTCCATTCAGTGTGAATGATAATTTCTGGGAGATGGGGGACACTGGTCCCTGTGGCCCCTGCACTGAGATACACTATGATCGAATTGGAGGAAGATTTGCCGCTAATCTTGTGAACATGAATGACCCTGACGTACTGGAACTTTGGAATATAGTCATCATGCAGTTTAACAGGTAAAATGGGCTCCTCTTTTTTTCTTAAGATATGTAGTGTTTTCTTTACAGGGAGGCTGATGGTAGTATAAAACGGCTTCCAAGGAACTACATAGACACTGGACTAGGCTTGGAAAGGATCGTTTCTGTTGTTCAAAATAAATTTTCTAATTATGACACTGACCTTTTTGTTCCAATCTTTGATGCTATCCAACAAGCAAGTGCATACACAAGTGCACAAAGTGAAAGTGATTGTTATTATTAATTTTACTCTTCACACAATACAGCATATGCTACAGCTTCATCATACATGTATTTGCATTTATGTGTTCTAAAATTTACTGGCACCGTATGAAAATTGATTTTTTTTAATAACCAACTTGCTTGTGCTGATGTTTGGCAGGTTTGTGATAGTTAAAATGACTTTCAAAAAAATAATTATTTATGGGAAGCTCCATTGTAGTTATGGTGCATTTTATGCTTCTATTCTTGGAAGCAAATACACTATCAATGTTAACTGTAGCTTTTTGGCATTAAATTCATCTTTTATTATTAGAAAACTGGATTTAGAGGTTATGGAGGGAGAGTTGGGGCTGAAGACATTGATGGGATTGACATGGCATACAGAGTGGTGGCTGATCACATTCGAACTTTAACTGTAGCAATATCTGATGGAGGAAGGCCTGCTACCAGAGGAAGCAAGTGAGTGATGGGGAATTAGTGAAGCATGCAATATATGTATTTGCTCATTTATCAATAGAATAATCAAATATTCACCTTATTGTTATCAGTTTATATAGTGTGGTTAACACTTCATTTGATTAAAAAATGAAATTATATTTGTGATGTAAAAAAATTAATTTAAATTTATTCCAATTTTTGGGCCATGAAAAATTTTTGCTATAAAAAATATTGTATCAATATCTTTTCCCCTTCTCTATCACTAGTCATGTACTCCGGCAGATATTAAAGAGAGGTGTCTATTACTTGACTAACAAATTGAATGCAAAGCCTTGCACATTTGCTTCTCTTGTACCAACAGTTGTGGATATACTAGTAAGTTAATTCTGCCCACACTACATGTACATGTACATCATTAGTACTGTACCATACATCTCTCTCTCTCTCTCTCTCTCTCTCTCTCTCTCTCTCTCTCTCTATTTATTATTATTATATGCAACATACATGTACAGTAAGTTAATACATGTACATGTAAGCTAGTTTAACTATTACATGTACATATATGGATCCATGGGTTTAGAATACAGTATTAGTATTCATTATACATTGTAGTACATACATGTATGTACATTGTACATGTGTATATATTGAATTGTATGTTGTGGTTTATATCTTATATTGTGTAGGGAGAAGCATATCCTGAGTTAACCAAAGATCCTGAAAGGGTAAGTACATGTACATGTACATGTGTATTTAGCTGGGTACATGCATGTACATGTATATGCATTTAGAATTTTAATAATTACATGTGTATAGGTAATGGACATTATTAATGAAGAAGAGGAGCACTTCCTTAAGAGTCTTTCTATTGGAAGGATAAAGTTTGAGGAAGCACTACAAAAGGTGGACAATAATATCCTACCAGGTAATGTAATGGTGTGATTGTCTCTCTTTACTCTTTTAAATTATGCATGTACATGTACATTAATTATACCTACACATGTACACATGTACATATTGTATTGTAGGTGATGTTTTGTGTGACTTGCATATTGATACTGGACTGACTATTGACCTAATCCAACTGATGGCTGATGAGAGACAAGTGAGAGTTGACATTGAAGGATTCAAGAAGGCAAAAGCTCTAAGACAGGTATGAACCATTTAAAACAAGTAAAACCATGGGCTATAGCTCATGGTTTTTCCAAAAAATGGCTAAAAAAATCACCCCCCATTTTTATTACATTTTTAAATACATAATGACGTACTTATGCTATGTAGAAAGTTTGAGCTGATTCCGATATAAACTTTTCAAGTTATGACCATTTTAAAAACGAGCCAATTTCTGAAAAATGCCCTGTACTATAGCCCATGATTTTTTTCAAAAAATGGCTAAAAAATCACCCACATTTTAATTACATTTTTTGATACATAGTGACGTACTTATGCTGTGTAGAAAGTTTGAGCTGATTCCAACTTAAACTTTTCAAGTTATGACCATTTTAAAAAATGAGCCAATTTCTGAAAAATACCCTGTACTATAGCCCATGGTTTTTCCAAAAAATGGCTAAAAAATCACCTCCCATTTTTATTGCATTTTTTGATACATAATGACATTTAATACTTATGCTATGTAGAAAGTTTGAACTGATTCCGACTTAAACTTTTCAAGTTATGACCATTTTAAAAAATGAGCCAATTTCTGAAATTTTAAGAGAAAAGTCAAACTTCATGTGTTATACATATAATATGCACTGACTGCCACTGAGTCAAAGCGAATTTGATTGTACTATTCTTTTACTATAGGAACATGGTGGTTGGATTTCAAGGCCTGAAACTTCAGTACAGTTTGATGTTCATGCCATTGACTACTTTACATCCAAAGGACTTCCCCCAACTGATGATATACCAAAATATAATTATTCCAGTGATGAATTTGGAAATTATAGTAAGTACATTGTAATTGTACTCGTACATACATGTACATGTAGATGCTCCTCTAAAAAAGAAATAGACTTTTTGAATTGGGGAACATGTCTATGTAATACCTTCCATTCTTTTAAAATGATTATTAATTGTAACTGAGACCTCATCATTGCTTATCATTATAGCCAAATGCATTCAATTATTATGTGACGCTTTTACTGGTGAAGCAGTTCTGTTTGTTTGTACACGTACATGTACATGTACATCAGGGCTGGCAAGGGAATCCCTTATAATGTTTAACTTTCCTTTAGTAGATGCAATTTTCAGTGCTGCATCCCTCATAAATAACCATGAATTACCATAGTTTCTCTGTTTTTCAGGTTTTCCATCATGTACAAGTTCCATTATTGCTCTGAAGCAAAATGGTGAATTTGTTGATGAAGTTACTTCAGGACAAAGTGTTGGAGTATTCACTGATAAAACTTGCTTTTACGCTGAACAAGGTGGACAGGTTTGTGACAAAGGATTCATAGTGAAGACTGGAGAAGAGGTAAAGACTATTATATGATGTACATGTACATAGTATCTACAAATCTACAATGTACGGTACCTCATTATATTTTCTTGTTTCTAAATTTTTGTAAATTTGGCACCCATTGATAATTAATTTTATTTTACATATAAACTTTTCAAGTGGCAAAATTCATAAACTCACAATTTATATTTTATTCTTGTGTGATTTCATTTTAGAAAGAGACTAAATTTATGGTAAATGATGTCCAAGTTGGAGGTGGATATGTGATGCATGTAGGAACTAGTGAGGGTACACTGAGGGTTGGAGATACAGTGGATATGATAATTAATGGAGTAAGTGTATTTTATTATGTAATACATGGATTATAACAAAGAGATATGTTATGCATGTACATTATAGTAGTGCTCTTTATATTGTCTGTAGTAGGATTGATATGCTGAAGTACATGTACATGTATGTGTACCACAGTCTACCACTCTGACTACATGTACATGTACATTAATGAGATGTATAGATACATGTATAAATGTATAGATACATGTACATGTATATGTACATGTTCTATACATACATATGTACATGTGTATGTACTATGTATGTATGTACATGTACATATACTTATGTACATGTATATGCACATATGTATATGTACATGTATAGATACATGTACATTAATGAATTGTATTAATGACAGACTTTAATGAGGATTAATTGTAACCAAAAGGCAAGAAATTTCAAAAAGAATAATAACCACATAATGTATGTGTAGCTAAACTCAATTTTAT